GAAAATAAAATCCATGTATATAAACTAACCACAAGCACCATCACCAACAATAACGAGTTTTTTACGTAAAGCAGCCATTATTTTTATCTAAAATATAAAAATTTTTTTGATTGATTGTGTTTGAAGGAGAAGAAAACAATAACAATTGAGATAACACGGGAACTGTACAGATACCATTAAGGAATATAATTTAACTCTTATAAGATGTTTTATTCGTAATAGTTTATTTCATTTGTTTTTATTGAAAAATATTTATAAACTTTTATATTTAATATTTGATATTTTCTAAGAAAAATTTGTAAATAAATTCAAACAGTTATTAATAGATGTCACTAGAATTCAAGAGATTATTTACATTTGTAATATAGGCAATAATATTTATAATATAAGTTCATATATATGAAAAAAAGATTTTTTCTTTTAATATGACAAGTGATCAACTATATTTCTTATTTTATTATAATGTGAACAATAAGATAATAATGAAAAATATGCCATTATGTGCGTCATATCAAGACTGAAATGTCAGACAATAGGCTATATGCGCACGGTCGACTGCGAAGAAAAAACATACACTATTTATATGACACAAGAATAGTAAATTGAAGCATGTCAGAAAATTAGATTCAATTCTTTCAATTAGTTCCATCAATCATTGTCATTATATTTGATGACAAAAATACCATCACAATAGTAAGATTCTTTGTGTATTAAGACAAAATGCCTCAAGCTTATGTATATAAAATACTGATATTCGACTATCATTTTGATGCAAAACATAAGAAAAATCGCTCTTCTATCCAGCCATATTTTTCCTTAGCATTTATTGGTATCTCTACGTGATCTCTCTATTGTATAAAAGATACTATTGAAAGAGAAAAAATAAACGGCAAGAATATTGCTGATGAATGGTAGCTTGTGTATCAAGGTCAGAAGATTTTTTTTTCTGTTAGTGCTAATGAGATTGATTGACAGATTACATATGCACAATAGGATTGACATATCAACCTATTATCTTGTTCATCTTTTATCGCATATGTTGCGGTAATAATGCGGCTGATTTTGTGGTTTAAAGTACGAAGGTGAGATTAGAAATAATAATCTTTTTTTCTTAATAACAACAATCATTCACATCTTAATTCATAGACTTTGTGCAATCATTTATAAATATTATTCAAATTTTTTGTCATGTTTTAATTAAATAGGATTTTATTTCAATCTTTTCCACTAGGTTCTTACTCTTTCGTGGTATCCTAATCGATGTTCTGAACTCTGCATTTATATACAAAAAACAAAAACACCGAGCTGTTATAAAACATATAATCTTTTAACAAATCTCATTCGTAGTTTTCAATAAATATAAAAACTGATTTTGTTGAAGAATATCAATAATATATATATATATACATTTCAGCGTCACATGTAGAGAAACAAATAGATATTTAAATAAAATGTTGTACTTTTTTTTTCTTTTCTTTTTTATTAGATAAAATGTTTATTTTCTATTTATCAATTATTCATGTAACTTTAAGTCAAGATTTCATCGCTCCGTTAATATTTTCCGATTGTAAACATTTAATCTTACCATCTCTTTGTCAATGTTATCATTCAGGTGATCAATCTCAATTACGTTGTTATAATATACAATTAAAGTTCATACCAAAATTACCAAATAATATGCATTGGTATGCATTAGATTTTTCATTAAATAATATTAGAAGTGTTGATAGTTATGTATTTTCTGATATATATGTTGAAAAATTAAATTTAAAATCAAATTATCTTCAAACCATTGATATAACTGCATTCGATCAAATCAAAAATTTAAAACAATTATTTCTCGATCATAATCAATTGAAAGAATTCAATCCCAAAGCATTAATTTCTCCAGGTGTTAGTTTAGGTAAAATTAAAATTACATTAAATTTTCACTTCTTTCCTTTTTTTTTTAAGAAATTTTTGATATATCCCATAATCCACTTGAACATTTGGATCTTGGTGAAATATTTACTCATCTATCAGTGTTAAAAGAATTTTATGCTGTATCATGTCAATTAACTAATTCAAGTTTATTTACATTATTAAAATTAACGAGACATCATTATCATATAAAAATAATTGACTTAAGTTATAATAATCTAACATCATTATGTGATAATTTATTTAATAATTTTTATAATTTACTTGAACTTCGTCTTAATAATAATAATATTCATTTAATTGATAATTATTTTATTCGTTCACTTAATTATATAAGAATATTAAATTTAGCATTTAATTCAATTGAACATGTTCCAAATTTATTTAGTTCATCACTTGAAAATTTAAATTTATCATCAAATAATATTCGATATTTAAATGATTATTTTGCATCAAATCTTCGTTCAATACGTTTAATTGATTTTGATTCAAATAAATATTTAAATTCAATATCATCACGTTCATTTTGTTTTATAAATATTTTAACATTACAAAAATTATCATTTCGTTTTAATAATATTTTTTTATTAAATATATTTTATGAATTATTATGTAATTTATTAGAAAACAATAAGAATCAAAGTATTCTTGATTTAAATCATAATTCAAATTTAAAATGTAATTGTATGTTAATACAATTTGAAAAATATTTAATTAATTATTTTGATTTAACATGTACGCAACAAGGACAAGATATATATTTTATATCAAAATTAACGAATTTATTTTCAAATTGTACAAAAGATTTTTGTATAACACAGAAAAAGGAACATTTATGCGAATGGACTAATGCAGAAAAATTGATATTAGAAGGAACATGTCAAGTACAATTGATCGGAAAAGAAAATTCAACAAAGAACGAATCAAAATTAATAACAACAACAACAACAATTAATTCAAATTTATCGGAAACTATTGTTGATAATACAACAAAATTTTATAATATCAGCCAAAAATCATTTGCATTATCGATTAAAAGAATAGATTATACTTGGTTTTTTGTTTTCTTATTTTTATTATATATTTGACATTCCATAGATTTTCTCATAAAATAAACAGTAGATGTTGAATTTCTTTATATAGATCTAATAATTTATTTATACTAATTCTGATTAGAAAATTAGATAAAGCATATAATTTGCATGAAAAAAAACACACATCTATTGATTGGCAATACAAAATGATTGTCTTATATATCAGACACGTACGTTTGCAATGACTTTTTGTCTACACTAGAAGATCTTAATAGATTTATTTATGATCTATTCCCCTGTACAAAATAAACGGAATACTTAATTTGTTGAAGGACGTCTCTATAGTATTGTCGTAACGACTCATATTAATAGCATCCATATATGGCTTGATATTGAGTCTATTCGGAAAGTTTCAGCTATGAATAATGAAAACTTATTAAGAAATTTGAGTCTGACGGATTTGATATGTAGATATGTAACAAAAATTTGTTGTTCTTATTACCTTTTTGATTATTTTCTCTTCGTTTACTAATATCGACATTTGCTAAGTGAATAAAATTTTATGGACCTTTTTCTTCAAACGCCAACAAGAAACGTTATAAAATTCTATTCATTTGGCAAATGTTGATGTTAATAAATAAATCAAACAAGTAAGAAGAACAACACATTTTTATTACTACTAAACAAGAACTCATGAGATAAAGTTGTTATTCTTCTTTATGACTTTTCAATATTTAGAACTGAAGTTTTCAGAGTAAACGGAATAACACAACATGTATCATTGTTGTAAATACAAGTTGAAATGACAATAGTATGGAGACGTAATTGAAAAGTTGGGTACTCCATTTTGCATACGTAGATAAATATTAAATAGATTTTTAACTCCACCTTGATATGAAATATTCTAAACTTTTCTTTGGAATCAACTTTAGTTCATATGCACGTGCTAATTAAAAATTTATTCAACAGAAAAAAGATAGGATTGTTCGACAAAAAAGTAATATGAATTATCTAGTCAATGAGAACCATAGTGATCGGAATCTTTCAAGCGAAAGTCTTTCATATAATTGTGAACAAAGAAATCAAAGATGAAGACTAATACATTATGAATGAGCATATATTTGGAACCGTCTGATCAGAGTTGTCTATATTTTTTAGGGGTCCAAAGGGCTAAAAGTCCGAGAATTCTCACACAAAAGTACTTTCATACTCCGAGTACTAGCAGTGATAACTAGAAGGAAGAACGAAATCTATTCGTGACCTAGTCTTTCCCACAGCAAAGGACTTGCTACCAGGCCGTTCCTCCCCAATCCTATTCATTTTGCGACGACATTGTCTGCTTATTCTTATTTCACTTTTTGCCAGAGAAAGGCAAATGATGTTTCAAAATCCTGTTTCTGTCAAAAGTTATCACGAAGGTGTAAAAAATTGTCAGAAAACCTTACATCTGAGGATTCGTCCCAATCGAAAACCATACTCTAATTGATGATGTGGGTTTGTAGTAGAAATAGATATGTAATTAATGTTAGACTAAACTTTTTCACGTTCGTACTTATTGTCTCAGAGAACTTCAGGAATCTGATTTGATGGCTCGTATCTTCATTTTAGTCAAAATAACATGTACGGGTCTTATTGTTTAGTCAAATTTTAATGAACATAAACTAGTAGTTTGACTCTTTCTATTAGTTAAAACGTAATTAGCAAATGCAATATATTGCCGAAAGCAAAAGAAAAATGTCAATGAATTGAATTCAATCAGTTAGTACTGATTTTGAATTACAAGTTAATATCCATAGGAAATCACTATTCAGCACGATTTTTTTAAATGAAACAATAGAATATTTGCTGCATTCTTTTCAGAAAAAAATAGTTGAGATATAAATCATACTTCATTTAGTTATGATAAATTAAAATTCATTTCAAATTATCAATTATAATGAAAATATTTCATGTTTTGACACATCAATTATATAATTTATATTTTCCATTTTTGAAAATTCTTTTTTTTATTAAAATAAAGCAATCAATCTAATATAAATAAATATCTTATTTTCCATTATCTAATAGTTCTTCTAATTTAATATGTTCAATATTATTAGGTAAACCATATGATTGTAATTTTGTCCAATATGGCCAAATTTTCGTTGGATAAATATTAAAATCAACAAAAGCTTTAATATACATTGTATCTTGTTGAACATAACCAAATTCTTGATTAAAAATTTTCCATAATGGACAAAATTCTGGTATACCTCCACTTTTATTAGCATCCATTTTTGGCTGTTGAAAAGAATCACTATCTAAATCAGGTGTTATTGTATGAACAACATGATCTTGTTTTGAATTACGATCATACAAGCACAATGTAATCGGATATTTAAATGGCCAATTTAATAATGAATCATATTCTCCACGCATGATTGTTATATATAATGATAAATATTTATCTCGAACAGATGTATCACCATTTAAATATAATCTTAGTGATAATTTATATCCATATTTTGAGGTATAAAATGAAGGAGATATAATAGATATTGGTTTTGATGCATTTTTTGCATTACGAAATAATTGTTGAATATTATCAATTCGCCATAGATATGTTCCATCATTATGAATATATGTTTTCGATAATTCAAATTCTTTTTTTAATTGACATAATTCACCTTTAAATAATTGTAAGTCAACAGATACACGTGTTAAATCACGTTCACGTTTTATCAACATGGATTGAAGAGATTTTTGTTCTAAACGTAATTGTTCAATCATTTGAGTTTGTTTAATAAGTTCATTTTGTAATGATTTAACATCTAAATTTTCAGATATAGATGTCGGAATTGTATGTATAGATAATGGTTGTAAATTAGTTGTTATTGATTGATTTTGAAATGACGAACAAATATCAGCAAGTATTTGTAAATGTTCAACTGATGACGATAAAATGTGATCTTCAAGATCTTCTCGACGAATCTGTAAAAATAGAAGCTGGATGAATAAAGTTCTTAAAGGTACCCTTCTGCCTTTTGAACTAGTCTTGGTTCGGCAAGAAAGTACAACTGATCGGGCTCAAATTTTTTTCTACAGGCACCTGAAACAAAATCACATAGGTATTTTTAAGCTTTTTAAACAATATGGGAAACACCAACTGGGGAAAAGCGTTTGTGAAGTGGTGTTTCTCGTATTTTTCTAATTAAAAATCGAGAAATTGATATTTTTTCAAAACGCTCATAAACATCACTGAGATGTTGTTCCAGGTACCAACAGCATAATTTCAGCTCGATCGAATCAAATAAGGCTCGATGGTTTTTGAAGTTCCCTTCAAATAGGTCTTCAGCACCTATTTGTACTCTCACGAAGAACCAGAAGTAATTCAAAAAAGAAGGAATACCCTCAACAGCATAGATGAAACTGGTCTGAGTAGGTAGAACCGACCGATCTACTGGCAGATCAGTCAGTCTAAAATCTCATCTCTAGGTAGTCTTATTTGATGTGATCAACTTCGAAAAAAAATTTCTTATATAAGTTTATCTAATAAAGGCAGAAACGTAGATAGGTTAGACCGACCGGTACTGAGTCTATCTGTGTTCAACATGTTTTCATTGATCGATTAGTCAATAAGCAGTAAAATTTAAGCGGAAATCGTACGAAGTGATTCACTATTTTTTCAGCATAGAAAAAGAAACTCTAAATTCGAATAACTCGAAAAGGATTCGAAACTAAAAGGTTTTCTCAACAGAATTAGTACAGTTGAACTGTTTTTCTTTACAATAGAACAGAATATTAGGAGGACAACGAAATAGAAGATATTTTAACTCGAGGTTTTGTGTTATTTGTGAAATATTTAATGTTCAAAAACCTATTTGATTTTAAAAACGATAAGAAAAATATTGAAAGAAGGAAGCAAACGATTTAATTTAAATGTCTACGATATTCTTCAACTCATGAGACCTATAGTGACGAACAAAAGTCTAGAATAATTATATTTTCCAGTTTTCTTCTCGATGGTAATAACTAGCAAGAATCTGAAAATATTTGAGCAGCTAAAAAGATTCTCTCTCAATATTTCTGGACCTACAAACTTCAACAAAACTACTTGGATGAGAATATCTGGAAAACTCATACCTCCAAAACTAGTTTTATGGCGTCTATTTGAAGTTTTTTGGAAATAGTTTTATTTGATAAAGCAACTAATTCGGAGTAAAATGAGACGTCTCGGTCTTACACATGTCTACTCAAATACAACAGTTACTCGAAAAAGAACATGATTAGTAGCTGAAAAAATAGATAAAACATGTTTTTAAATAAAAATTTAACTTATGTAAAATGATTTTATGAATTAAATCAGGAGAGACAGCTTCTCCATCATTATATTCTAAATAAACGTATATTATCAAAGGATTTATCATAATCATAAAATTGTTAATTTTTTTATATGGGCATGTATATATGATTGTGATATGTTTATTGCTTAAGATTCCGTATTTACAGGTTTTATTTGTATTGATGTCATCTTATTGATTATGATGAGCTTTTTTTGTTGCATTAGAAGATATTAGCATGAAAATAGTAGATTGACTTATGATGCAAGAAAAACTTCATTTGAAAATCCACAGAGTTAAGGATATCAAATAGTCTCGGATTTCGGTTCGGATCCCGCACATATTTACTCAGTTCTCGTCATAATATTCTTTCATCGAACTGCATTCAATTTAT